TGAGGTCCCTCTGTGTCCCCATGTCCCTCCAAGATCCCTTTCTCTCCCCATGTCCCTTTGAGACGCCTTTGTCTAAGGTCCCTCTGTGTCCCCATGTCCCTCTGTCCCCATATCCCTTTGAGGTCCATCTGTTTCTCCGTGTCCCTCTAAAATCCCTCTTTGTCCCTGTGTCCCCCTGAGGTCCCTCTCTGTCCCCACGTCCCTCTGAGGTCCCTCTCTGTCCCCATGTCCCTGTAAGGTCCCTCTGTGTTCCCACATCCCTCTGAGGTCCCTCTGTGTTCCCACATCCCTCTGAGGTCCCTCTGTGTCCCCAGGCCGGGCAGGAGGCAGCTGACCTGGCCATCCTGCTGAAGGACCTGGAGACGTCCTGCAGCGACATCCGCCAGTTCTGCAAGAAGATCCGGCGCCGCATGCCGGGCACGGATGCACCGGGAATTCCTGCAGCCCTGGGCTTTGGAGCGCAGGTGAGCAGGGCAGGGACACCCTTCAGCCACGAACTGGGAGCTGTGGGATGCACTGGGCCAGCAGCAGCTGTCCTGGAGGAGCTGGGCAGCAGCTCAGGGTGGGGGGAAGTGAGCGAGCTGGGCTGGGATTGTGGAATGAGGGACTGGTTTAGATTGGAAAATCCCTCAGAGATCCCTGAGTCCAACCACTGACTATGTCCCCAAGTGCCACATCCACGGGGCTGTTAAATCCCCCAGGAACAGTGACTCCACCACTGCTCTGGGCTGGACAGCTCTTTCCAGGAGGAATTTTTCCAATATCCAACCAGAACCTCTCCTGTCACAGCTCAAAGCCTCTCCATCTCCTCCTGTCCCTGTTCCCTGGGATCAGATCCCAAATTCCCCCCAGCTGCCCCCTCCTGTCAGGGAGTTGTGCAGAGCCACAAGGTCCCCCCTGATCCCCCTTTTCTCCCAGCTCGCTCAGCCACTCCTGGAGCTCCTTTCCAGGATTTCATATTCCCATCTTGGATGGAGACCTGGGCTCACATCCAGGACCTGTTTCCCTCCATCCTTCCCTTACTTTCCCCAATCCCACTGACGCTCCAGAAGCCTCTGTCACACTGGGACACGTGGATGCAGGATCTGCACATCCGTGCCATTCCTGCTCACCCCTCTCTGCCCTGCCAGGTGTCAGACACGCTGCTGGAGTGCCGCAAGCACCTGACGTGGGTGGTGGCCGTGCTGCAGGAGGTGGCAGCAGCGGGGGCGCAGCTGATTGCACCGCTGGCAGAGAACGAGGGGCTGCCGGCGCCGCGCCTCGAGGAGCTGGCCTTCAAAGTCAGCGAGCAGGTGGGACACCTTTTCCATGGAGRAATRTTCCYWATRTCCCAATARAAACCTCCCTGGCACAGCCTGAGGCTGTTCCCTCCCATCCTGTCCCTGTTTCCTGGGGTAAGATCCCAAATCCCCCTCCTGTCAGGGAGTTGTGCAGAGCCACAAGGTCCCCCCTGATCCCCCTTTGCTCCAGGCTGAGCCCCTTTCCCGGCTCCCTCAACCCTCCAGAGCCTTTTCCCACTCTTTCCCTGGATGGGGCGTGTCCAGATTTTATGTTATTTCATAGTAATTGTGAAGAAAGGGTGTATTTTTTGCAGATTTCCCACTCCATTCTGTTTTGGGATGTTGTTATTTTCATTTTTGGAATTTGGGAAACTTTTGAGTTTGGTTGGTTGGATTCATCAATGGGAGCGAAGGTTGTGCAATGGGTGTGGATTTTAAGGGTGATTCTTAAACATCAAAGGGACATGTTAAAAACCAGAGGGACATTTTAAACATCAGAGGGACACCCTTAAACAACAGAGGAACATCCTAAATATCTGAGGGACACCCTTAAACATCAGAGGAACATCCTTAAACATAGAGAGACATCCTAAATATCAAGASGGACATTACAGACACAACACCAGTTGTGGGGTGTGGGTCAGGGACTGTGAGCCTGACCCACATCCTTCCTGTCCTTCCCAGATCTACGGCTCCCAGGGCATCAATCCCTACGAGTGCCTGCGCCAGTCCTGCAGCATCCTCATGGCCACCATGAACAAGATGGCCACGGCCATGCAGGAGGGCGAGTACGACGCCGACCGCCCGCAGAACAAGGTGGGTTCTGTGAGGCTCTGTCCCCATCCCCGGTCACTGGGAGGCTGTGGGTGACAGGGGGAGGGAGCTGGGCAGCTGCAGTGTCTGGGATTCTTCCTAAAATCCCRATTTTCCTGCTGGTCCTGGTGCAGCCCACGCCGCCGGCAGAGCTCCGGGCGGCCGCGCTCCGGGCGGAGATCACAGATGCCGAGGGGCTGGGGCTGAAGCTGGAGGACAGGGAGACGGTCATCAAGGAGCTGAAGAAGTCCCTCAAGATCAAGGTAAGGTGTTCCTCACTGATCCCTGCCTTCCTGGTTCCTCCTCACTGATCCCTGACCAATCCCTGCCCATCCCTGACCAATCCCTGCCTCTTTCATCAATCTCTGCCCATCCCTCATCAATCCCTGCCTGTCCCTCACCAATCCCTGCCTCTTTCACTGATCCCTGCCTGTTCCTCATCAATCCCTGCCTGATCCTCACCCATCCCCACCTTCCTGGCTGCTGTGGGATTCACCTCCACGCTCCTGGTGATGCGCTGCCTATGGAGCTGTTGATCCCAAGCCCCATCCACATCTCCTGGGAATGTTTTTCCCACGAGTAGGGAAGCKCTGCCTTCCAGATCCTGCTCCCACTGTGTTCTGGGATGCACAGAGTTCCAGCCATGGGTGCTGGTGATTTGGGGGTTCCCACAGCTCCCTGATTCCCTCCCTGCCATTTTAGGGCGAGGAGCTCAGCGAGGCCAACGTGCGGCTCAGCCTCCTGGAAAAGAAGCTGGACAGTGCCTCCAAGGATGCAGATGACCGTGTGGAAAAGATCCAGACCAAGCTGGATGAGACCCAGACACTGCTCAAAAAGAAGGARAAGTGAGTTTGGAATGGGGTGTGGAGGTGCAGAGGAGGCCATGGAGATACTCTAAGTGGTGGAGYCCCTCTGCTCTGRAGCCGGACTAGGAGAGCTGGGAATGTTCCCCTGGAGAAGGGAAGGACACAGGGAGAGCTCAGAGCCCCTTTTGGGGCCTGAAGGGGCTCCAGGRGAGCTGGAGAGGGACTGGGGCCAAGGGCTGGACAGGCTGAGGGTCCTGGAYGAGCAGCATCCCTGGCCTCACACATCCCTCTGTGTGCTCTTCCAGGGAGTTTGAGGAGACCATGGATGCTCTCCAGGCCGACATCGACCAGCTGGAGTCAGAGAAGGTGGAGCTGAAGCAGCGCCTKAACAACCAGTCCAAGCGGACGATCGAGGGGCTGCGGGGGGCACCGGCCTCGGGCGTGGCCTCCATCGTGTCTGGCATCGCCGGAGGTGCGTGAGCAGTGTCCCTGGGCACGGCTGGAATGGGGCTGGGATGTCCAATGTGTGCCTGGGAATTTGGGAATGGCGCTCTCAGGGCTGCCTCAGGCAGGCAAGGCAGTGGTGGCACCTCAGTGGAGCCATCCCTGCCTGGGATAATCCCATGGGATCTGTGCCTGCCAGGAGCTCTCCCAGGCACRGACAGATATTGGGGCTGTGCTGCTYGAAAAACCCTACAAAAACCAGGGTCCATCCTGCTTGGGTCACTCCCAGCTGCTGGGAATGGGATCAATCCTGGCTGTGGCACTGGGAGACGGGAGCTGCTCCTGGCACAGCTCCTCTCCCACCCAATCCCACCAATGGGGCTTTAATCCTGCTTTTTCTTGTCTCTCCCTGCCCCTCTCCCTGTGCTGCAGAGGAACAGCAGCGAGGTACGGACACACAGCCCCCAGTGCATGTAGRGGGGAAAATTATATCCCAGGACAGCTCCATTTGGGAGCAGGGAAAGGATCTGGGGTTTGGGAAAGGAGGGATGAGCCTGGAACCACAGTGGATGTGGAGTGGGGTGACCCCCACCTTGGGTAGGGGAATCAGGTGGGACTTCTCTGGGGAGGTGCCACGTGTTGGTGACAGCATGCTGTGCCCTGTGCCACTGTCACGGTGGCACCACTGATGGTCGGTGCCCCTCTGCAGGTGCCGGTGCTGGGCAGGTACCAGGAGGTGGCTCCGGGCCCGTCCAGGTGAAGGATTCACCCCTCCTGCTCCAGCAGATCGACGCCCTTCAGCTGTCCCTGAAACACCTCAAGAACGAGAACAACTTGCTCAAGGTGGGGGGAAAGGGGATGTGGTGCTTGTGGGGTGTCATCCGGGTGGGGTGTGATCCCTGTGGGATGGGATGTGATTTCTGTGGGATGTGATCCCTGTGGGATGGGATGTGATCCCTGTGGGATGGGATGTGATCCTTGTGGGATGGGATGTGATCTCTGTGGGATGTGATTTCTGTGGGATGTGATTTCTGTGGGATGTGATCTCTGGGATGTGATCTCTGTGGGATGTGATCTCTGTGGGATGTGGTTTTTGTGGGATGTGATCCCTGTGGGATGGGATGTGATTTCTGTGGGATGTGATTCCTGTGGGATGTGATTTCTGTGGGATGTGATTTCTGTGGGATGTGATCCCTGTGGGATGTGATTTCTCTGGGATGTGGTCCCTGTGGGATGAGCTGGAGAGCCCCCACATCTGGTGGGTTCCGAGGGCAGGGGCTGAGAGCAGGATCAGTCCTGGGACCTGGGAATGCCGAGGGAACTGGGGGTGCTGGTGATGTCCCTGGCAGCCCTGGTCTCCTCAGTCCTCTTTTCCAGTGCCAGACACCACTGGCACAACCTGATCGACTGATTGATTGATTGATTGATTGATTGATTGATTGATGACACCCCACGAGGCACAGCAGCAAATGTTCCAATTAACCGATTATTATAATGATCATTAATTCATAAACTTTATGAGCCAGCTCATTGGACACAGCTGTGACAACTCCCAAATCCCACCAATCCCACATGCCAGCCCCATGTCACCCTCCCACGGGTGTCCCAGGACTTCCTTTGGGACTGTCCTTGCRAGAGCCACATTTTCTGCTTTCCCCATTTTTACATGCGGCCCCTCCTCCCCGTTGCCCTTTCCCGGTGTTTTCCCGGTGTTTCCCGGTGTTTTCCCTGTCCCTAACTCCCGTTCCCGTGGCTCCCAGGGCGCACAGATGAAGATGGAGCTGGCCAGCCTGGCCCCGCTGCAGGTACCACGTGTGGCCGTGGCCCGGGAGCGGCCGGGCGAGGCACTGCCCACGCAGACCCTCTACCGCAAAACCACGCAGCTCCTGGAGACCCTCTACCAGCTCAGCGCCAACGCCAAGGTGGTGGACATGAGGCAGAGCAAATCCAGTAGGTCCTACACTAAATTCTCTGGGATGTGGTGGGGGTTGTGTCACAGGGAGCTGGGCCAGCTCTGTGCTGTCCCTCTGCCACTCTGCGTTGTCCCTCTGCGTGCAGCTGCTTCTGCTCGGAGCAGGGCTCACTCCGGGGTGAGGGGCTTGCTCTGGTGGTAGGTTTGAGGTGTTTGGGTTCAGGGGGACGGCCCTGTGTCCCCACAGTGCCCATCCCTGTCCCCCTGGCCAGGACTATTGGTGTGCTGGGTACACGTGGCACTGGCTCAGTGTCCAGGGGCTGAGCTGCTCTTGGGTCAGCATGGCTTAATCTCCCCCCAGCCCCCAAAACACCCTGAAACCCCCCTGGTACCACTGCAAGGACATCAAAACACCCTGAAACCACCCTGAAACTAATCCAAGGACATCAAAATCCCCTGAAACCCCGCTGGTACCAACCCAAGTAGATCAAAACCCCCTGAAACCATCCTGAAACCAACCCAAAGACATCAAAACCCCCTGAAACCACCCTGAAACCAACCCAAGGAGGTCCAAACCCCCGAAACCCCCCTGGTACCAACCCAAGGAGGTCCAAATCCCTGAAAACCCCCCTGGTACCACTGCAAGGACATCAAAATCCCCTGAAACCACCCTGAAATGAACCTAAGGACATCAAAACCCCCTGAAACCACCCTGAAACCAACCCAAGGAGATCAAAACCCCTGAAACTCCCATGGTACCAACCTAAGGAGGTCAAACCCCCCCAAAATCCCTCGGTACCGACCTGAGGAGGTCAAACATCCCTAAACCCACCCAGTACTGATTAGGAGAGGTCAAATTCCCCCAAAATTCTTTGGTAACAACCTGAGAAGGTCAAAACTCCCTGGTAAGAAACTGAGGAGATCAAAATCCACCCAATACCAACCCAAGGAGGTCAAACCACACCAAAACCCTCTGGTATCAACCTGAGGAGATCAAAACCCTCAAAACCCACCCAGTACCAACCCAAGGGGGTGCCAGCTGTG